TGTATGCATGTAAATATGTAAGTGACATCTGGTAAGAGGAAGTTATTAGACTTGGCATGTTGATCATTTTCATTTGATTATGTAGCTTTTTTATATACCAGGGCATCTTGCATCTGATTCTATGTCTTCAGTATATAGTTCAAATGACATAAACAGCTTCTGTGAAAATCCATGGCTATTCATGAGATATGCCCTGCACAGAACACAGTCTGTTCGCCTGGGATGGCTGGGGTAACTGCCAAGAACAAGCAAAAACTATGAAAGTCAAACTTCTGAGAAGCAATTTGGTTAAATACAATTCATGCAGGAGCTAAATATGCAGTGAGCTTAGGCATTGTACTCTGGCTCATCACACTTTCTCAAAGGTGGGAAGAAAATGTTTGCCTTTTGTCTTTTCTATCTGAACAGTAGTTCTGACTTTTAACAACCAATTTACTGTATATTATGAATGTCTGGACTACCTTCTTTGGAAGAATTATGAGGAGCTCAGTCTGAACACTAAGCTCAGCATTGCCAAGATGATCTGCAATATGGATCTGAAGCCTCTTCCATTTCCCTGCTCTCTGGAATCCTCTCTTCCCGTCAATCAAGCATCCTCTGAGTGGGCCTTATTTACACGTTCCTCTTCTTGCTTAGTACATCCAAACTATGTCCAAATCCTGCCTGCGTTTCCAAATTCATGTCTCTTCCTTCTTTTATCTCTCTTTTTTTTTTTTTTTTTTTTTTTTTTTTTTTTTTTTTTTACTTCCTTTCTTTCTTGCTGGTCTGACTGTATCAGTTCTTCACAGCTCAGTTTCTGAAATGTACTTTTATTTGACTTCCCTGACAAATATACTCATCATCTTCCTTTCCCTAAAAGGTTATGAACCATAATTGCTATTGTAATTTACATTCTCATCACTTTACAGTGGCAAATATCTTATTTCAAATTTAATCATTTGCTCCTTGTTTTGTTTTGCCATGGTCTTGTTTTTAATGCCCTGTACAGTACAGCCCCTTGTCCCTTACCTGTGCTCTGCTTTGATTTAGTTTGCTTTTTTAACTGTTCGTCTTTGAATTCCCTTTTACACGCTTTTGGATTTTATTCTGCTCCTTGTATACAGATTGCCTGCACTGAAATTAGTAGCATTTAAATCATCCTTTTCAAATATGTCTCCAGATTGTGGCTGTAACTGTTGTTAGGATCTGAAAGAATAGAAGGAGAATTACTCAAATACTTTTAGTTTACAAATATCATCGTTAATGGATACATTCTTAGATATAGGTCTGAATTGCAACTAGAAACCTTATTTATTTGTTGGTTTTCTGTTAATAGTATTAATATCATTAATAATTACTGCATATCCTTTATATTAAGACTATAGCGGTAAGATTGTTGAGGAAACTTTAAAAACTCAAAATTTTCAAACTAGATAGAATTCTTCAGATTTGTATTTTGAATAAAATTTGTGCTCCTAGTTTGTGTTAGTGCTCTTAGAAATGCCTTCTAATGCTTTTTGTAGTAAGTATGCATGCAGAACAAAAGAATCCCTGTTCTAATATACATAATTTGTTATAAAACTGAGTGAACATGTCTATTAGGAGTCTCAAATAAGACCTTTTTTCCCATTGATACCATTATCTTCAGTAATTATTTGGTTGAGGAACTAGCTCTGTGGACATTAAGTACTGAGTAATTATAATATTGTAGAACTGCAGTGTGATCTTCGTAAACCATGAAATAGTTTAAAATTAATGTCCTGAAATTAAATAAAAGTAAGTATAAAGTCCCAACATTAGGAACTCTGAAAGGCATGTAAATGCAATACAACTGGAAAAAGTTTTTTCTTACTCAAGAACTTTAAAGTTTATAAAAAGCACATAAGGAAAATATCAAGTGGGGTTTTGGAGTTTTTGGGTTTGGTTTATTGGGTTTTTTTTTTTTTAGCTAACCCATTTTCTTCCTTTTGATTCAGAAAAATAGTTCCTGTTGCCATTAGTTTTTCTGACCAGTTTTTATTTTAATTTCTAGAAGGTCTTGCGTATATCAATAAAGAAAAACAGCTTCTGTGGTTTTAAAGACTCATCACTTTCGATAATTAATGCTATAGTCATTATACTGACCTCTAGTATGGTTCCTCTGTGGTACAGAATATATTCATTCATCTGTTGGGGGCCAGGGGAGGAGGGAAAGGAGAGTGAACAAGGCCAATTCCCGAGCACTAAAGCTGGCTTGTGTTAAAGCTGTGTGTCAGCTCTGGTGACAAGCAGGTGTGCTCTGAGTCATGAGCTGTTTTCACAGGGAAATCCGTATGGCCTGCCAAAACAGATCACCCTGCTTTCTGCAAAATTAGCCCATGCAGAAGAGGACAAGGCACGTGCTCAGACCTGGTCCTGTAACTCACACTGTCTCAAAGTACGCCAGTACTTCTTGCAATGATTGCATCTTGCTTGTATGGTGTTACATAGACTTTGTTAATTCTTGTTTGTTATTAGATAAAGAATTTTAAAAATTACTGGTTTATGTAGATAAAGTTACATTCTCGGTTACAATATTGGAAAAACTGTTGCTGAGACGAAGTGGTGGAATTTATTCATATCTACATCAAGGTGCAATTGTTTTGCCATCAGTTACTTGTACTTCACCTCTGTACTTTTCAGGCAGAGTTTGCATTCCAGCAAGTAACAGCACGATGCTTTGGGACTTGCTGTGTTTTTAGGCTGCTGTTTTGTCCCTTTGTTTTACTGTTTTACTTTGTAGTTGTGTAGCAGTGGAACTTAGGGCAGGTGCATGCACCTGCCAGTGCTCCTAGATGTAGAATGAATGTGTAGTGCAAAAATACACGTTTATTGAAGAAGCAACTTTCCCTTTCTTTCTAATAATAGTGTCCCCAAATATTTTGCTTATCTCTTCTGGCCGATGCTATCCCCACTATAAATAGAAATGGAGCATTAGGAGTAGTATTAGGAGGTAAATCTATTAGTTGGGTTTTACTGCTACCCATGTTACCTTTTACAGAAAAATAGGCAATATTCAAATTTGGTTTTGCAATGATTTCGGTAATAGAAGAAGAATAACAAAATTTGCTTAAATAGGACTTCAGTGCTAGAAAAGGTAAGACTGAAAGAAAGAAGCCTTAGGGGCTGTTGTTTGTGATAGAAGTAAAGAAATTTGACATAGTAAATGAATGTGCCACCAGATAAGATGAAGCATTTTACATGCAGCAATTTAGTCCTGTAGTCCTCCTGATTAGATATGGAAGTGTTGAATTCATAGTTTCCTTCAGTTGCTTATGTGATAAAATCAGAATTTCCTTTCATTTAAAAGAACACATAAAACTCTGTAATCAATGGAACTACATTAAACAAGGAAAAAAGTGGCTGCAGAATAGCGATATATTCAAAGAAAGGAGGCAGTGGATGATAAATGGTTTGTATCTTCAAAAATTGCTACAACTATACAAATCAAAAGTATATCATTAAAGAGAAAAGTTATTACACTTTTTTAAAGAAGATAAATATTTATGAAATACTCTTAAGCAACTGGTGCATAAGTGTATCTAGATATGATTTATGTATTAATTGAAAATGGGGGAGCATTGCCTGAACATTAGAATTGCAGGAAGCAGGCTTTTTGCACGAGAGCGAAATACAAATCCAATGCATTTGAAAAAGCTTCCTCAGTTGTGAGTGTATAAAAGCTATTGCAACATCTTTCTGGACATTTAGAGGAGTATAATCAGGAGCTGAATGACGGGTGCCTTTTTTTTTTTTTTTTTTTTAATCTGCTTCTCAGACACCAAAAAACGTTATGGTTTGTGGCCATCTAGTGGTAAATCCATTTTAAATACACTAGCCTTGTTCAGAGTTTTAGTAAATCCGTCCACTAGCTTTGCAGTGTGAAACTGAATTACAAAACAGTTTTGGGGGAAAAAATAATTCTCTGTATATCTTTTGCAGTAGTAGTTTACAGAAGGATAACATCCGTGAAGGTCATTTCCTTCTTTCCTTTTCTTTGTCTTTCTCCAAGACAAAACAATTTTTGATGTTAACAGTTTCTTTTTAGCAGCCAAGCTTAATGTGAGGGGTTCTTTTCATTTTTATTCTGTAATTTTTTTTTTTAATGTCCAAGTCCTTAGTAGTAAAGTAGTGAATTTATTTCTTAGGCATAAACTTATAAATTTAATAAATTATATGTTTCCAGGATACAAATATTCTCTAAAATATCTTTGACATATACATCAATTCTGAAAGCAATTCATATTCCTTAGTATCTGTGACTCATGAGAAATTTGAAAGGCAATATGCTGACTCTCCTGCTTAAGTCGTTATTACTCAATTGCCTCGGTAATAACATTTTTCTAGTATTTTTCTATGAGCAATGGTTTTAGAATGTCATGGGAAAATTACTCTGTCACAAACAGAAGGGATTAATATAAGTATCAGTAGGAAACAGTGTAGTAGAACTATGGCAAGTCACATCTTGAATGAGATGAGTCTACATGGTTTGTGAGACCTAGTGGACTTGTAACGTCTGCTAAGTCCCTAACAAATGAAAACCTGACATTTTGTTTGTAGTAGAGAATTAATTCAATAAGTGTATTAGTAGCAGATGCAAGTCATCTGTATTTCTTGTTTTCACTAGATAATAACAAAAGTCTGAAAATTTGGTGGTTCCAGTTACTGTTTTTTCCCTCGATTGGGAAATGGACTGTGAAATGGATTTTGCAATGATTTTGCCTTTTGTTTCTTTCATCAAGGTGTCATTTTTTTCATATCTGACCATTGCAACTACCAGTTTCTTGAATTTTCAGCATTAACATAGACTTCTCCTCTTTCTTTAATTGCTGTAGCTATTTCTTCTATTTAGTTTGTAGACTTCACCAAGACACTGGATAAGCATAATACAACAAAACCTATTTAAACTCACTATGCAGCATGCCACCATCCATCCATTAACATTCAACGTTGTATCGGGATGGTATTGGGTTAATATATGTAATGGTTTGTTTCATTTTCAGGTATTTGGAGTGGATGACAGCCAGGATTATAATAGGCCTGTTATCAACGAGAACCAGAAAGATTTAGTAAAAGATTGGGCTATAAATTCTGCTACAGTAGTGCTGGAAGAAAAAAGACCACTGAGTACAACTGGATTTCTTGACACAGAGGTAGAATTTAATTTTTGATGGTCTTCTCTTTTCTTCCAATAAGAGAGAGCACTAATAACTGACCAGTAATTGTTAAACAGCAAACAAAACCTTGCCTAGAAAACATTAGCTCAGATCTATAAGTACTTTATTTTTCTTAGAGCTTTATTGCATTATCAAAACTTCTTTGTCAGAGACAGGCACGTCACATCGTGAAGGGGTTTTAAACTTTTCTGCCTTTATGCACACTACCACCAGTGTATTGGAAATGTAGCAGGAGCTTCCTTGCAACATTATTGTAATTGCAACACGTTTGCACAGTATACACGTCTTATAAGTTACACAGCAGAACTGAGGAAAAGCCAATTATGTTTTATAGCCCAGAGCAAGTAACTATATTTAAATACAGAAATAAGGTGTATGCATTTAATGTGTGATACAAAGTCAGCTAGGAAAAAAATGGTGGATAATACATTTCAGATTTTTTTTTCTGAAGCCAAAGGACATCGGTTTGAGTTCTGAAGTGAGATGCCACTCACAAGAAGTCACTTATGTTAGTTGCCTCAGAAGCAGTATAATTTAATCAGTTGCTGAAAGATGACGCAAAGGAAAATGCCTGTTCTTGATACATGACTCCAAATATGCACGCAGGCTAGATGTTAATTGTATTTCATATTGAAATCTTGGGAGACATTCTGATAGCGTTACGATGGATAAACTATAACTTGAAATGTGCTGGAAACAGAACGGGTTCACACTGGAGCAGAATTAATCTGGTAACAGTAACAAAGCACACCACGTTTACTTCTACTTGCCATGGCAAACTGTTTCTGAAGTATGATCCTGTAAATTAGCAGACTTCATAAATAAGCAAATTTTCTGGAATATATCAAAAGCTTCAAGTATGACTTTTTGTGCCTGCTATGCAAATACATTGTTTTTAGTATCTAGGAATCTGTTTTTCCTAGAGAAGGTGTGCGTTATCATGGTTGTATTTCAGCTACTGTGCAGTCTTGATACACTAAGTATGTTACTGTATCTAGGTGAGTATCCTTGAATAGTTTCTCTAAGGTTACCTCTTTGAGTATATTATTGCCGTACAGCATGGGCATATCATGTGGTAGAATTTGACATAAGTCTATAACTAGAGTCTTTCTCTGTCTTCTTTTTCATGCCTTTTGCAGCATTCAGGTCTTTTGTGCTAGATCAGTTTTTAAGACTATTAAAAGTATTGATATTTTTCCATTTATATCATTTCCTAAGCAGCAGAAGAATATATGATTTATTTTATGAGCATAATTTGAGCTTTCCAGATGTCATATTTTGCAAATAACAGGGTTTGATTTTAGAAGAGCAAGATGACTTCTGCAATCGTAGGGCAGGTTTAAGATTCCTTCTGACAATGGAGCAAAACTGACATAGGCAATGTGAATATAGCAAGAATTAGTCTAAGAAGAGTTGAGGACAGATGGAGGTTGAAAAAAAGCTTACCAGAGAAAGTTAAAAATAGAAGTTGGTTGATATGTATTTTATGTATGTATGCATGTAGAAGTAAAAGAGAAGCTAATTCAGAAAAACAGAGTTGTGTTTTCTATACTCATAATGGGAGAACAATCGTGAGGATAACTAGTGAGAGAAGATTGTAATATTTGAAGTCTTATTACCAAAACTTACACTATGTTTCTTGTGTCATTAGGAAAGGGAGAGGCAAATGTGTTTGATTTGTAAAGTCTATGGGTATCATGTTCTCATTATATACAGACTTTTCTGCTTGTGGTTTTTGGAAGACTTACTGCATTACTGAGCTGTAAATCGTAAGTTAATAGACCTTATTGAAGGTCTTGGCTAAATAGTCAGGTAACCTCAGGGTAGCTCAGTGGTCCAGGCTTGCATCCACTCGGAATGTGGGTGGACTTTGTTCCAGCTGCCCATCACAGTTGTACCTATAGATGATTTAGCAGGATGGGGCGAATTTAGAACATGATTGGCATAGAAAAAGCAGAGAATAAAAAATCTAAGAGATTGCCATTCAGAAAGATGGAAAAGATGGCTTGGGAAATTATGAAGACTTTATAAAAACTATTTTGGGGTTGAAAGAGTCTTCTGAACTTAAATATCTTGACTTTACAGGGCTTGTGAAGTATCATGAATAACATGCTTGGAAAGGACCTAAAAAGGACCTCAGCTTTTCCTTTGATATGACAAGCTTTAGTACTTTGGAGTAGTGTATGCCATGGGACTAAATAAAATGCAGAGTGAATGCCTGACACAGTTGGATTGAGCTTGCATGCACTGGTTCTTGCCTTTTCAGTGGTTACAGATAGACAGTAAAAATACTAAATCCATCTATTTAAAATATGTAAATGTTTTTATTTTCTATGTTATAAGCTGCCACTTGCCAACCAAGGTAAGTGTGATTTAAGAACAAAAATTAAATAAGATGGAGAACAAACAGAGTATTGTTGTTGTTGCTATTTGTTCTTACTATGTGAGCTTGATTAATAAAAGTACTGCAGGCATTTGGGCTCTGATTTATCCACCCAGCTTCCATTTAATTTTCAGTAGGCAGTTATGTATGTTAACCACGGTTCTTAAATAATGTACGTGGTTTATCAGCATTGTCTTTGATGTGCTTCCGAAGGACATACCTGTTTTTTGCGTGGTTTGTGCGGGGTTTTTTTTAATTTTTTGTTAAGACTGCAGCACACTTAGAAACCTGATTCTACATCTGCACGGTCATCAGTCGCATTTACTACAACATTCCTTTCCCTGTTTTGAATGCTCATTTCATGTGTTTCCCACTAAAGATAAAATAAATAATACTGCTGATGCTCTGAACACTGAGTAACTTCATTCATGTAAATATTTGCTATACTGCTTCTTAGAAGTGGAAAACTGCTGTGTGCCTTTAGAAGCTGTGTTTCCTTTTGTTTGTCCTCTCTAATTACACTAATTTCCTGTCCTTCTGTAGAGCAAACCATTCAGTCTGAAGTTTGATACTTCATTTTTGTTTGAACTTAGATGCTATAAAACATAGGATAGGATTGTGGAAACATAGGATGATTGTGTCACCAATGTTAATGGCTGCGAAAAGGCAAACAGGACCCTTGGATACCCTGGAAAATGTATTGTCAGTAGAAAAGGGCAGTGTTGTTGCCATGGTCGAAAGTGCTGGTGAAACTTGCTCTGAAATACTGGCACTAGAATTGTTACCATTCTTGGTTAAGAAGGGTGAATGCAAGACTAGAGAAGGTACAGAGAGGTGTACTTGGATTATTAAGGGAATGGAGATTTACCTTACAAAAACAGGTTGATAAAATTTGTTTAGTCTAGCAAAGTAGTAGCTGAGGTGGGTACAATACTGGGTTTTGCTGTATAAGTGGAGTAAATGCAACAGAAGGAAAAAGAACTATTTGAGGTAGATGTCAATGTTGTTCCAGGAACAAATGTGAAGACATTGGCTGTAAATAAAGTGAGTGTGGAATATGAGAAAAAATCATCACCCCTGGAGGAATGTGGTTCTGAAGCAGGTAGAGTGGGGAGGGACTAAAAGAACTGCTTTGAAGCCGGCACTTCATTTTTGAAAGGATGGCATGATGTGATTCTTACAGCATAAGATGACTAGAGCATGTGTCTGAAAAGACTTTTTTTTATTATTATTTTTTTATTCAGCTTGTTGAAATTTATTTTTTAAAAAAGTGTTCTGCTCTGAAATACGAAGTATTGGAGATGCTTCCAGGTGTTATGTGTGTGTGCTGTGGGTTTTTTTCAGATGTAGAGCCTGAAGCCCTAAATCTTCGGTCTGAATAAGTCGTCTGCAGAAAACCATTGGTACATTTTCTGAAGATCTGTTACTCCAATTTAGTCTGCATATGCAATAAGCATAAGGGAGAGCAGATTTAACATGAAGTTAAAGGGCTGGTATCTCTTATGTAAACCCAGCTTTTCCGAAAGATTAGGAAATTAATTTTGGAATTGAAGATTTGGAGGATTGCTTACTTGAGAGCCTCTAAGATGCAAACTGATATGGATTATAGGAAGAACATTAGGATAACTGAATGTGACTTTTTAAATGCATGTTTTATAAACCTTTCACCTTTTGGACATGCTTAAACTACTATCAAAAGAAACTGCTTTTCATAGCTTTGTTGTTTGTGCTTATAGAGAGAGAGAGTTGGCAAAACACACATTTACATCCACTGCTATGTAGAAGATCTTTTTTGGCAGTGTAATTACTTTTAGAGAAAAGTAATTTATGATGTTGCTTTACTACAGTTAATTTGCAAAGTCTTAATATATTTCTCTATTGTGAAGTGAAATTCACATTTCTGATATGTGTCATATCTGTATCGCTGGAATTGGTTAGGTGGTACACAAGGAACTAGTTGGAGTTTTCTGTAGCAAAGGTAATTGGGACATCTATTGTATTTGAGTTTGGCTGTAACTAATTTTTTTATTAAAGATGGAAGCTCACTAGTACGAACAGGAGATAATAAAAACAAAGTTTAGAGATAGGAAAGAAAAATGAGGCTTCAACAGTAGTCAGTGCATAAATGCTGCACACTTCTGCAAGCAGCTTTTGTAACATTCTTTCTGGCACCCTTTTCCTTACGTGGTGTTCAGAAATGCCCATAAATAACAGAAACATTGAATTGCCTTCCTTTGTTGTTATTAGACTTGAATTTTATAACATTTTGATTCTAAGAAATTAATTCACAATGTGGAAATTTGTATAATAGTTCAAAGAAATTATTTGATGCATCTCTGACTTTACTACAATCACAGCATTCTGAAAGAGGTTTGTGATACTGCACTTGTTTGCATTAATTAGGGTCACACATTTAATCAGGAGAAATGCAAGATCATAAATTCAAGTCTTCTCAAATGGCTAAGTAACTTTTAATTTGAAAGAAGTCATCATACAGTAGATGACATTGTTCACCATGCCATTTCTGCTAAATTAATTTTGTAAAATTTATGGAGTTGGTTCCTGGTCAAAGACTGGAATCCTGGAGTAGCCAAGGATTAGGCAAAAATCAGCGTTTTGAATGGAAGTGGTAAGACTTGAACAGGCAGCAGAGCTTCAGCTAACCTTTGGAACAGCACCTACGAAATTCCTTTGTGAGAAAGTTACTGGTATCCCCATGTCCTTCACATCTCTTCTGTTGATCTTGAAATGTGATTTCTCATTTGGCGCACCTGTGGTTATGCAACTCCTGTGGAACTTCCATCATTTGCAGTGCTTTGCCTTTTGAATCCAATTAATTAGACTGTGTAAACTTCTGTAAAGCCTTTGATAACGTGCAGCCCGTGTGTGTGCGCTCATGTGCACCTATACATACATCGACAGTTGCCTGCTGTCTTTTTTTTGGAGATGTGAGCAAGAAAGGCTATAATATATTGACTAAATGGTAATATTGCATTATATTTAGGAAACAGTTTTTGAAAAAAAAACACCTTAAGATACTGTAACAACACAACATAAGAAGGTGGTTTAAATTTATATTTACTTTTTTTACATTATAAAAATTTTCAAGGTTTCAAAAGGCTTATCATCAAGAAAGTAAATGACTTTCTAGATCAGTTGCATTGACTTCACTGTTACCCAGTAGGATGGTTTAAAACCAATCTTTGCTTCTTTTTTTTTTAGGCCAAACAAATAATCTGATCTTCCTTTCCAACAGAAATTATCTTACTCTTTCAGTCCTTAAGGTGGTCTTTCTGTAATGAAGTAAATACAATACTTCATCTGGACAAGAGGGTTCTATAAACTGGCAAAATGTCACTTTCCTGTCTTCCTGAAGCACACATGCACACCCCCACACCACATGTTTTTTCATGGTCTTCTGAGCTAAGGACTGAAATAACCTGGTTTTAAAACTAGCACATGTTCTAATATATTTTATGTAGGTTCTGATGTTTAAAAGTTCACTGCAGTAGGAAATGCTGTTTATTATGTACTGATTCTGCAACCGTATAGAGTTTGTTTGTTTACTTGTTTGCCATTCTAGAGCTGGTGACTCTTAAATTTATTGAGGTAAACTCCTTTTTCACCTTCTGCCAGGAAAATAGTGTCTGACATACCTATTCCGTAAAAACCTGGAAAGAGGACATGTTGTAATTTTTCTTCTGCTTTTTTTCCTCCTTAGGAAAGTTCTAGTGCCCCTGGAAGTAAACGTTGGGTATCACAGTGGGCCAGTTTGGCTGCTAATCACACACGTCATGACCAAGATGACATCAGATTGGAGTCATCCGTGCCTGCTCCATTAGAAAATGGTATTAAAAGCTGTTCTTGTTGTCATAATTTCTGCTGAAGAAACCTATGAAAGGGAGAGAAGAGTGATTATGTAGCAGATATGTACAATGCGTACAATTGTATACATAAATGTGATTGTTGGTATTCAAATAAGGGCTTAGAGATTTCTTGCAGAGAGAAGCCCTATACTCCAGTTCATATTCCTGGCACAACCAATATTGGTGGCAAGCCTTGACAGAAATGTCCCAACAGGGACAGCAGAGCAGTTGTTGATAGATCTCTCCTGGTGAAAAGTGAATTGAGAAATGGGTGTTAGTAAGTATGTCACATTATGTTGCAACAACTGGCAAACGAACTTGCAAAAAGAATTATTTTTTATCCAAATGTTTGAAATCAGAGCAATTCATATTATCGCTGAGTAATAAAGGCTTGTTTCTGGCAGCACAACTGCTATGTTTGTTAAATGGGCAAGGAGGGCACACTCATCACTGTGGAAGAATAAAGTTTGGTTTCTAAAATGGGCGTTTTCAGCATCAATTATTCCTTGCCACAGTTCATGGGATAGCCATCGTTTTTTACCGAAAGAACATTCTATATCCACTAAGACTTCAATGAACGTGCTTTAGCAGTAGTACTGCATTCTTTTGGTGCTTTTCATACATTTTCTATATATTTCTATCATACAGTGTCTTGTTTGGGATAAAAGCATTCTTTCTGCTCTCTCAACCATAGTAAGTCCTTTCTTCATGAGCAGGGCTCTTCAATACTGCTGAAAGAGCGTCTCCCAGCAATGCAGCCTCTTCCTTGAGGGGAGGTTTCGCAGGGAGAGGCTGTAGCCCCTTGGTGAGACAAGACCTTGAGCTGTGGAACAGGCAGGTAGGGAGGAAGGAAGGGGATCTTCCTCGGTTCAGTAGCTTTGAAATCTGGTGCTGAATGTGTTTCGGTATGTGAGACTTGCTTTCCACTCCTGTTGTAATGGTGTGCTGATATAAGAGTGATTTGATGTGTACATATTTTAACCTACAGTGAAAGCATAAAAACTTTACATTCATATATGTGGTCCCAGTGTACACAGCTGGCTAAAAGAGTTTGATTTCAGGGAGAATATATCTTACATAGCTCAAATTCTTGTATCTATGCAAACTTCCCTTTTTATATGAGAGCTGTCCAAGCCCATACTATGGAACGTCATACTGAAATGACAATGAAGCAGGAAAAAATACCATAGTCTCTCTGCAAGAATGACACAAATGTTCATGAAGTGTTTCCTTTCCTAGTATTACAGTCACAGAGTGTCAACAAAGTAGTAATTAGCCCAAGATGCCACACAAATAGGCAATTATTCAATCACAACCAAAATGATCCACGTTTGGGAAGAAATTCTGCCTGTTTGTAGCAGAGCAAAAGGCAAGGAGATTGTTCTATTCTTCCACTCTTACTCTCCTTCTGAAATGACTCCTTCCCTTTTCCTGCAGTCTACTGGTTTTACGGAGTACACTTTTGGAAGATGGCTTTTTCTGTCCTGGTCACGTCTCTGTGATAAACCAGAAATGGTTCATTGCAGTAATTCCATTGCAACCTTTTAGACATTGCTTTCATAGACACGTGCTCTGTATCAGCACTTTGGATTGTGTAAAGTAAACTGTTGTATGACACTCTTAACATTCTACTTCTAGTAATACAGAATTTTTTTTTGATCTATGTAATCTCTTTAATCCAGAGATACCCATTCTAAGTTACGTTAGCACATGATTTTGTTTGGATTTTATTTCAAAATGTATTGCAACAGTGAAATGAGATAACATAGCTAGTTATGTACAACTTACTTATTGTAGTTTGGAAGAAGTTAACATAATTCACAAACAGAGTTTCCATTCTGTAGTAAGAAGAGTGTTTCCACTTTCCTGTAAAGAGGAAATAATGCCTAATGAGAATAGGACAAGCAGTAATGGGCTAAATTGGAGAAAGTCCAGCTCCTGTTAAAGAATAAGAAAATTATTCTGAGAGCTGTCTACCCAAAGAGCTTATAGAGATAGTCAAATCTCCATCAACTGAGATTTTTAAGAACTTGTTAAACGTTTTTAAACATATATTTGTCTAAATATAATTGATCCTAGCATAGAACAGAGGGATGGACTAAAGATTTTTTTCAGGTCTGTTTTATGTTGTTTTATTAGTCTTACACAGTCTTAAGAATTTAATGTTTCTATTTACCTTGCTATTGAATGACTTCACAGGTAGATTTTTCTTTTTCATTTTTAGACACAGACATCAGTGAATCTGGTGTTTCCGTTAGAAGCACTGGTTCAGCTGCTTCTATGGCCAGCCAAGGTGAGCGAAAGCGGAGGACACTGCCACAGCTTCCAAAAGAGGAGAAAGTGAATGAAAGCTCAAAAGCAAAAACTACATCTCAACAGAGATCAGAAATAGGTGAAAAGCAAGACACTGAACTTCAGGAGAAAGAAACTCCAGCTCATGCCTCAGATACTGACAGCAGAAGTATAGCTAAGTCAAGCAGAACAATGAATGGTCTTTCACCCAGAGCTACTGGAGACAAAATTTTTTCTTTCCCCAGCTCTTCCAGTAAAGAGAGAGTTGAAACTGGCAGAGAAACCTCTGTGGATAAACAAGCTTTGGCAAAAATTCAACAACAAGAAAGAAAGGAGCAAGGACACTGGATGCCCACAAAATTATTCTCCACAAAATCTGCTGCAAACCGGGTTGAGAAGGGTAGGGAGGAGATTGCTATGTCACCCAAAACTTTGGATAATCAAGACAAAGCTCCTGGACATGTTACAGATAAAGCGGAAATGAAGTTGGTGCAGAGTGAGGGAAAAAGAAGAATAACTGAGGAAACTATTAAAGGACAAAGTCCTAAAGCATCTGGAGGAGAAAAAAAGGAATCTTCAAAACCACTAGTGAGGCAAGGCAGCTTTACTATAGATAAGCCTAGCACAAATATACCTATAGAACTTATTCCTCACATTAATAAGCAAAGTGGATCTGCTGCCCCTTTAGCATCTGCAAACAGGATACGTGACAGAAGTGATTCAATGGACACTGATTCCAGCCTAGATACAACACTCATTTTAAAAGACACAGAAGCTGTAATGGCTTTCCTTGAAGCTAAATTGCGAGAAGAAAATAAAACCGATGAAGGTCCTGAGACTCCTAGCTATAACAGAGATAATTCCATATCGCCAGAATCGGATGTAGATACAGCCAGCACAATCAGTCTCGTTACTGGTGACGCAGAAAGAAAGCCCACACAGAAGCGGAAGAGCTTTACAACTTTATATAAAGATAGATGTTCCTCTGGTTCCCCTTCAAAGGATGTTTTAAAGTCCTCCTCAACAAGTGCCAGAGAAAAGATGGAAAAAAAAGCTAAAAGTCGATCTTCAGATGGTGGGTCTAGAACTGATGCTCGCAAAACTGTGCAATCCAGTGGAAGAATGAGACAACCATCAGTAGATTTGACAGATGATGACCAAACATCAAGCGTACCTCATTCCGCCATTTCTGACATCTTATCATCTGACCAGGAAACCTACTCTGGCAAATCACATGGAAGGGTTCCTTTTGCCTCAGCAGATGAACTTCTACATTCCAAGATGGAAGGCAAGTCAGCTAAATCAAAAACCTCTCCTGTTGCACTTGGGCAATCCAGTAAATCTACCACTCTTCCAAGACCTCGTCCCACAAGGACTTCTCTCTTGCGCAGAGCACGGCTTGGTGAAGCCTCAGATAGTGAGCTTGCTGATGCTGATAAGGCTTCAGTGGCTTCTGAAGTGTCCACTACAAGTTCTACTTCAAAACCTCCATCAGGGAGGAGAAGTATTTCCAGAATAGACTTACTTGCTCAGCCTCGCAGAACTCGACTTGGCTCTTTATCAGCACGTAGTGATACTGAAGCAACAATAACTAGAAGCACTGCCTCATCTCGTACCCCAGAAGCTATTATCAGAAGTGGTGCAAGGTTAACATCAGCGGGAGATAGTAGTAAAGTTTCTGCTAGAACTCGAGCCAATAGCATTTCTCGACTTTCAGATTCAAAATCAAAATCTTTGGCTTCAGCTCATAATTCTCCCTCAGGTATGTGACATTATTTGAACTAGTCTTATACAGTACTAGATGTTTTTTATATGTGGAAATATTTTTTTTTTTAAAGGAACAGTTCTGTGAAACATTTGTTGAACTTTAGTTGGTGCAGTCTCTCTTTGGAGTAAGAGGCTTCTTTGGCAGGGCTTGTGGGTGTTTCTCACTTAAAAACATAAAGACAAGAAATTGTAATCCTGTAACTCTTCGGATTTTTTTGTGTTTTTTTTTTTTTTACTTGAAACCAGTAACAAATAATTGCATTGAGGCATTCGGATATGGCAGCACTGATTTGTGTTAGTACAAAACCAGAGCAGTGATCTCTTTGCTCAGGTCAGAAGTTCAGAAGGTTGGCAGCACTTTTTGCTACATGGAAGATGCAATATTTATTTGTAAGGTAGGCTTGTAGGTATGCCCAACAGCAAGTGTTCCCTGAGGTATACCCCGGGCCTCTGTAGGATAATTATAATTTAAAATTAGCTTCCAGACTACAAAATTGAGGTTTGTTTGATAAGAATAATAACAATGAAGTAACAAATGGAAAAATTAAACACAAACACTACCTAACTAAATATCATAAAGTTATTTCTATTAAAATGTTTGCCTTGACTTGCATTAGTTTCTGTCCTCTGTTCCCAGTTACAACAATTTATGATTTCATCATGATTTCCAATCATGTTGATCTTCTTTTGGGTGGTAGTTTCTTTACTATGATATTATCTTATGTATGGAAGGAAAAATCCATACGGTTGATTAATTTTAACCTACTATTCTGTTAGTAGTTAACTTTTTACGTGCAAACAGTGTGAAAGGCTGCTAGTTTGTTTACCTACAGCAATATTAAATCAACCAAAATTAAAATGTAGTAATTCTAAATAAGTGAACTTTCATATGCAACAAATATCTAAAATTGATGTCCTCTTGCTTTTTGAATTGTCATACTACCAGCTTGACCTTATTTGAAGCCAGTCCACAGTCTAAGAAAAAATAAATAGAGTACCTTCCAGGGTTGTGTGTTGCTACTGAGATTATATATTCTCCTTTACTGCTTCCCATTCAGAGTTGATATAAACATCTGTGCTACTTAAATTTCCACAGTCCTACTGCCCTTTTGTTGCTTGTATATCATAAATCCACCTTCTTAGGATTCTTAGCAGTGTTTTTTCCCCAGACAGGTATCTTTTGGCTGTGCCATTTATTAGGTGAATAGAAATTTCTGTAGAGATACAAATGAGGTGTTCACTGAACTATAAAGCTGAATCTGTTTAATATTATGACAGGTGTCTACAAAGATACAAAAAAAGGTGAAACTTCAGAGAAAAACTCAATCTTTCCTTGTAAGATATCACTGGAAAAATGGCATGTTTTCCATTTTAATCAGTTTTAAATTGATGTGTGCAGACTGAAAGGTGGCAAAGTTAGGTCAGAGAAAATGTCGGTGAAGACTGCTTCAATGTGTTTTCTTTAATAATTACCACTAGTTCACATCGTGATATTGCTGATTTTTGAAAAGTTAAACCCCAGATGTTACTTGTCACTTTGCTGCTTCTTGTGTTTTTCACAAAACTATATATGGATTTTGAGTTTCGTGTCCATGTGAACTATTGCATGCTTCCTGAACTTTTCCCAGGTTGCTGCACTGAAGTGGTTTGCTGCTTCTGTTCAGGGGAGTGGGTGTATCTTTCTCTTCTCAGTCCGCGATCTATCACAGTCATCTTTGTTTAATGTTCATTTCATTTACCTGCATTACACAGTCAGAGTTTACTGTAGCTTGTATAAAATACTCTATTTTCAAGAGAGAAAAGATGCCGTCTTCTCATGAGCTACCCCAACGTAATAAGCTAGATATTTTAAAAAGACCATTGTTAGAAAAATGTACAGTAGAAATAGCTTCTGTCATTAAAAGCTTTATCAGTTTATATATCAAAATCAGGGAGAAACCTGTATAAATGTAAAGGCAAAAATCCAAAAGCAATTAATAAAGCAGTCAGATACTTTCAAAACAAAATCATGACTTAATAAATCAATCGAGTCTTGTTACTATGTAAATAAAGAATATTATTACTACTGTTCAGGATTTGGAGTTCCGGATTTTGTCTATATCGGTAAGCTTATTGTGTGGTTTTTTTACTGGACTGTTTAGAGTGTACTTTAGGAAAATCTGAATTGCTTTAAAAGTGATGTAGTCTTCTAGTTTATATAGGAGTGTGTGTGTGTGTGTGTCTCTCTCTCTCTTAGATATAGGCCACTACTCAGTACATCCCCATTTTCCCATTAGCATCTTATAAAATGATGCTGATAACTACCCAACACATCAAGTTATTAATAATGTTATTTGTTATTTTATCCTTAGATAAACTATTTAAAACATATTTGAATAGAATGTGTTACTTTATTTGTATGCAATATATAAAAATGGAACATAGCAGAAGTTTTTCAATCCAAAGCGTATAATTCCTGAATTTAATTTTGTTTCTAGGAAAGTCAACAATTTGCTTAATTTTAGGACTTTTGGAAATTACTAATGAAGCACCTGACAAAACTGCCTCAACTGTTTGAATGTGTTTTACTTCAGGCACATTTAATCAAGGCATAACAGTGATGTATTTTCTTCTCTTCCTGGAACTAGAAAGACTGGAAAATGAATGACTATTACCAATATGGGGTTTGGGGTCTTTTTTTCTTTTACCAGAAGACTGGTTGCTATCGAAGTGCTAAAAATGTTCCACGGGTCTTCCCATCAGGGTTCAGTCGATGTTACCACATTGCAGATTACTGAACATTGGCAGCAGAACCTTGCTTCTTAAATCCAGTCTACCAAAGTGAAAATTATTTCTGCATTTCCCAAATCTTTTTGATTTTACAGACATGTATGTCTGAACAAAGATGTAGTCATTGGGTTTTTTTAATGTCTTGTACTTCATATGGATGAATAGCAACATAATAACATTTAAATTGTCAGAGCTGTCAGCAAGTCCGTAATTTCAAGAATCTTTTTTAGTCTTTGTTAGAGTATTGCTTACTTTTAAAGTATTGCTTACTTTTAAATGAAAGGGCAAGCAGATAAACGCCTTGGACAAGACTCACCAGCATTAAAAGTAGTTACCAGGGTGTTTCTGTGGTAGTAAGCTTGGTAACTGACAACACTGTGAAGACATGTGAAGCAGAATTAGTAATTCTATAGCGCAAGCAATAAAAGGTTTAATCCAATCATCAGAGAGTAGCGTGTGATCAATAAAAAGAGAGAAGACTAGAGACCTTTTTTCACAGTTGCAGAGGAAAATTGAAGATGGTATTATAGAAGGAGCTATGTATTGGGAAAATGAACAACAGGATCAGACCCAGTGCAAAAGTGCTAAGCTGCAACTGTGAAATTAAGCAGAGTCAGACCAGAGAGACCTTGAGCAATGAGTTGTGTTCGGCAGCTCTGCTGGCTTGCTGACCTAGCTGTCATTGCAAATAACTAGCAGATAGGTTGATGAAAGCTGTTGAAGTATCTCTGGAAAAAAAGGAAAAAGGTTTGAGGGTGGAGAGAAAACAACCCTTATTAACTACGCCTTAGTATTATTGCAATACTGTGCACCAGATTTCAGGATCTTTGAAATGGATGAACCTCGAGAAGGCAATGCATCAATGAGAGTAGAGTATTTTATCAGGGATGTGCTTAATAAAGTCCGCCCTCAGATCTTAAAAGTGAGATTATGGTCTCCAGATCATCAAACTTCCCAGCTTAAGGTGTCACCACATTATACTTTTTGCAGAGTAGTCACCAAGTTAAGTTTGTCTGCTGATTATTTTAGCTAGGGTTTGGGAGGATTTTCTAGTTGTTGGTACTGATTGTCACAGTCTTTGGTGTCTAAGATAACTAATTGCATGATAGCTTTCAGAAATCTACATAGACTACAATGACATTTGGGGGCTGCATAATTTATAAATAGTATTAAAAGTATATATATGCAGATGTATGGCTAGCTTAATGGGAAACATGCTTGGATATTGCTTCTCATGAATCATACAACTTGAGATTTTTACTGTTAAGCCTACAATAACTTTTTCCCCATATTAATGAGAAACTTGTGGATAATATATAAACAACATTTTAAGACCTTAAAATTTAATGGTCTTAAAAAACGTAGAGGGCTTTTATGGTACTATGCAGACAATTGTTATTGATGTCATTTCAGTTGGTATCTCTGAAATGTTTAAGCTTTTACAAAATTCAGTATTTTTGATTGAATGTATAATTTAAGAATCTTTTCCTAAAAAGCATGAATGGAAAAGAGGACCTAAGACTAATATCATCAATATATTTCATTTAAGCAAATGAAATATTTCTGAATGTTTTAACACGAATTAACATGATAAAACACTATTTTGTACACAGAGAAATCCAAGCTTCTCCCAGACCCAGATCCTGATGTTGAAACTTACAGTGGTAGAGTACTAGAAATCAAAATCTGTTTCTGATATTTCACTTCTCATTCAATTTTTAGTTTTTAAATATATGATTACATATGCTCATTGTACAGTGCTGAGTTGCTGGACTAGCTCACATGACAGATTTTAAGATCAATTTTATATTTATTTTGATGCATATAATTTGAACCAGGACAAAGAAATTAAACAAAAATTGATGATAAAATGTGGGCCCAACTCATAAAGCTCTTTGGACTTCAGTCACACATTGCTTGCATGCTGTTGGTGGGGAAATGTGCTTTTTCTGCTTATGTTCTACTTCCCTAAGATCAAAAGAAGTTTGAAACCTCTAAAAAGAGAACAGTAAGTAACTGGAGAGACATTTTTATTTTCTTCAATGAAGTTAGAATATTAAAAAAAATTGGTAGAACTGGACATGATTTGAAGCCCACATTTAAACCTGAAAAAAATTACAGAAGCATATTTTTGTTTTCAGCAATTAAAAATGCATTATTTGTATGAGGGAAGGGATGTAAGCTTATACACCAAGGTCGTATTCTACATACTGTAATCTTTGAGAGCATTGCACAAATCTTTTCTCAACTAAAAATTACTTTCATTATTTGTCACTTAAAATCATATTGATGTAAGCTTCATTTATAATGTTTTTTTAAATGTTTCAGGAGAAATCATTATTACTTCCTGCATTTTTCTTATACTAAAACCAATGTACATTACTTGACTCTGTTATTTTTAAATTGCCAAGAGGTCATCACACACTTGTTAAAATTTCTACAGTAATTTTAGAGCCTCATGAATGACAGGGAGTTTGGGGGACTAAATCCCCTGCAAGAATTTAGCAGGTTGTCATGATGAGCATTCCTTTACACTCAGTGGTATCTCTTCCTGCTGGGCATGTTTGAAGATGGCATATCTGAAATGCATTTCCTAGACTTTAGTAATTCACGGGGGCATGAGAGCCTCCTACTTAATTTCAGTTCTCTTATACTTCAGGCTGTCGTCAGCAACACGGCTGTATATGCTTTATGTCCTACATGTGAGAATATATGCTTCTTGCTCTGAGGCTGCTGTTTTTGTCAGTGTGTTGCTGATTTTTATAACAGTATTAACATTTTTTTTCTGTACTAAATACATAATGCATCATCTAGGACTTTTATGCTTTCCTGATGTAAGCATGCATTCCAGGCTTGGTGCCAGCTCCATCCTTCCTTCATGTCTCTTCATTTTTTTTGAGTATCATGTAAACCTCGAATGAAACTTGGGAAAAAAATCTGCAGAAAAAGTGCAACCTGACTATATACTTAAATGTTAATGAATTGGGCCCTTGTTTTGTAATACAGTTTGCTTGAGCTCATATACAATTACTGGCTTTTACATCTTATTCCACTCATCATTATACAAAGAGCATCCGTTTTATGTTTTTATTAATCTATTTATTATTTAACACAAATTTTGTAGCTTTCTTTTTAAGATATACTAAATAAACCTTTTGTGAGATATCTGGGGATTGATGATGAATAGTTGTGTATTTTTGTGATGTTACTGAAATAATACTGTTTTTTTCTTACTAAAGATGCAATAATAATTCTTTTTTAATAATTAAACTAATTTAGTAAGTGCAAGATGGAGGCGCTTTCCTACAGATTATGCTTCCACCTCAGAAGATGAATTCGGATCAAACCGTAATTCCCCTAAACATACCCGTCTACGTACCTCTCCAGCCCTGAAAACCACGCGACTGCAGAGCACTGGGACAGCAGCTCAAAGTAGCAATACCTTCAAGCACAGAATAAAGGAACAGGAAGACTACATTCGTGACTGGACTGCTCACCGAGAAGAAATAGCAAGGTTGGTTTTAAAGGAGTGCCTCTAAAATAACAAAGATTTGTACCCAACCAGCTATACGGGTGCATATACAGGAGAAGGAGAGCTAATGGATTTTCTGTATCATTCTGCTTACCGTTTTCATTCACAAACTGAATGGGTAATTTAAAATTCTTCTTACGAGGGACTGGTGGACAGAACACTCATGTTACCAGCACATCTCTTTCTAATGGAAAATTAGAGTAATTTCGGACTTATGATAGCCAGATCCCAGAATATGAACTTCTGGTCACATTAGTGGGACTTGCAAAGGTACTTTGTGTAGAACTCTTTGTTGCTAATGGTGTATTTCCTGAGGCTGAAGTATATCTGATTTTGTGCTACCTTTACATTCATATTGAGGTAGAATTTCAGATCAATGCATAGGTGACAGAGGAAAAAGTTATTTTGGCAATATGAGAGACCATGTTCTCATTTTAATTTTTTGTTTATCTAGACATTACTTCATGTTAGATATTTTCTGATTTAAATCATATGTGTTCATCAAAAAGTACTTTCTTTTGTTGCGAGTCCCTGAGATTAGCATAGAAATTCCTCCATTATGGCTAGTAGCCCTCTGCTTCAAGTGAACCAAGGAAAAGGTAGCCAGTTCTACATTCTGGTAACCAGTTGTGCCCATATCATGCAATACCCAGGCAGTGAAAACTTCAAATAGTTTGCACTAAAGAAATAAAACTATGTAAGTATATAAATGTTATTTAAAACTTAGATGCCAGTGTTTAGGTTAATTATTTTTTGTTTCCTCTTCTTGGTAATAGTTTTCAACATTTCTTTTTCTAGTGTGGCCTGTGCAAAGGGAAAATACTTAAGGGAGTCTGATAGCATCTTGATAAATCATGAAATAAACATCTTCAAGGGCATCTTCATAGAACATCTCTTTCTTTCCAAGAATCTAAAGTTAGGATTGGATATAAGGAGGAATGTGTGTATGTGGGGAAAAACATTGAGGATATCCACAGCATATTACTTCCTCCTCATAAAAAGTGCTTTTTTTTTCTCTCCTTCAGTGAAACTTCCTGGTACACTTGGCTCATCTAGGAGAGATTGACGCTGGAAGTAATGGATGATTCAGTCTAAACTGACTTGGTGGTTAGGTTTGCACTTCTGGTTTTTTTTCTTCCCTTGGCCTCCTTACCATTTTCTTCATTTAGATACTGGTGTTAAATTTGTTTCCAAGGCTATGTACTTACCCTGCCTTGTTCAGCTTCTGTATTTCCAGTGGAAGCGGTGAGAGGCTCAAATCGGTATTGCCAAATTTGTGATTGTGTATAGGAAATTTCACACAAATGGCATTAAATGAGCATATTTAAGGTTAAGAAAACTAGCACTCAGCAACTGAGAAATGCCAGACTACTGTCAGCCATTGTCACTGCTTCCCACACCAGTTTCCTTGGTTCGCCTCTGCTGAGCCCCCTGCTCTAGATCACGAGTTGACCCTTTCTGTGCCTCCATCTCGCTTTGTACAGATTCACAGCATTGCTCCCCTGGCTTTAGGTTTAACTTGTGTCCTTTGTAGGATGATTTTTGTCTCTGCTCCCCTTGCCTTGTTAACCATAGTCTCCCCTCTGTCATTGGCTGCCCTGGGGTTTTTTTCCTTCTCAGCCCTCAGTCCAGCCTCTATGATCAGAGCCCCTTCAACTCTGTTTAGAGTTTTTAAAAAAGGAATAGGTAGTTATTTGTTCTCATTGAATTGGTTGATTTCATTTTTTTGTTGAATAACTGAGTAGATTAGGCAGGTGTAAAGATAAGTATTTCATAAAATACACGTGCAGATGAAAGTAGTGTAGAGACTCTATGACAAACATTTCATTGCATCCATGTTACCATCATACTGTATTTTAACTGGTCTTCCAAGATTGACTCAGTTTGCACTTTTCAGAGGCTCTGCAATTTACGGATGTTAATAAAATTGAAAATTGGAAAGAGATGATTAAAAAAACTTAACAGAATAACTAAATTTGATCTAAAACCACTTTGGTTTGGAGGGAATATACACCCTTAGAATAACAGGAGCTTCACATGTATTTTATTTAAGGATTTTAAAGTGTCGTTACAAAATAAACTGTGACTCAGTGTAGGAAGTGAGACATAGTAGACTAAGCATAAAAATGTTTTTGGTAACCCAGCAATTCAGAACTATTACAGATATCTTAGAAGTATTCCTATTTCATTGTGGTTTTTCTAATAGTATGGGTATTCGTTCACTGCAGGTAAATAAGAACTAGAGTTCAAGGCTGTTGAAAAAGATGGTCATTACATGACAGCTTGGCTGCAGGAGTCTGCTCACTGAGCGAACCCAATAGCAGCATTTGCTGGAGTGGGTTAGGGGGATAGGGAATTTAAGCTTTATTTTAGTTTTGCCTCCCTGAATTGATGTGCTTTGTATGATTGCTAGGTCTGATGCAGGAAGCAGTGGAAATCTGCAAGGCAACCTACAGTTGCAGCAGGATAAATAGTGTGTACCTAAAGCCTAAGTCTCTTGTCCTTGATTATACCAAACATTTTCTTTATACTTAAGCAATACTTTCTGTTTCTAAAAGTTAATGCAGAATGACTTGAAAACATAATTTATGAAAAGTCAGGCCCAACTCTCAGCTAGTTTCTAATTTTCTTTTTCTTAATGCTTTTTGTTTAGTTATCTGTCTATATTGTTTCTATACAGAAACATTACTGACTACAGCTTACTATCACATTGAAAGTAATTCCAGATTTTGTTCACTTGACTAGTGTTAGACAATCATCATAGTCAAACAAGTTGCTTGCCATCCATGTTGGAGTTGTTTATTATGATATTTTCAGGACGCATTTGAATTCATTTTTATGTAGACATCTGACATTTTATGTAATTTTGATTGCTTGTTAAGAACTCCATCGAAGTGGCTGTGGCATGTTGAAGCATTGCTGATTTCTGTGCAGAGTTAAGTCTTAGTTGATTGATACTGCTTTTGATTATGGTGTTTAATGAAATTTGTCTTCTAGAGGATTTACTGATAATTGAAATTTCCTGGGTTTTATTTTCTTCACAACTATTCATTAAATACCAAAATTTGTCCCAGAAAATCAAACATGATTATTAGCAACTTCTGTGCTTAAGAAAATAAAGTGATATAGCAGTGTGAAACAAAGGAATGGGGTTCTCTGATATCTCTACTACTTAGACTATTGGCTCAAACCTTGGAGTTTTAATGCTACATATATATAAGAACACAAAATATAAATTAAAATTTACTCAAAAGATGTAGTAATTAGGTTAAATTAATTAATGTAGTAATAGGCACTTGCCATATTTTAATTTATTAAAAGGAGCAATTGACTTGGTTTCTGCTTCAGTGTCCCAGTCTTTGATAGTTTGAATTCAGAAATACTGTCTTGAGTTATCACGGTAACTGCCGCCTATTCTTCTACAGCCTTATCCCAGTTATATGTGTATCTATGCTGCACAAGGTTGCACTTCATTGTGGATCACTGATGGTTAGCCGCAAAATCCAGTGTTGGAATTTGACTGGAAATTTCTCTTAATTATGTTTGCCTTTCTAGTTTGAATTCTGCTCGCTCAGTCTTAAACTATCTCTAGGTCAATGGTGTCCGTTCTTTTTGACTTGCAGACAAAGTGAAAATGAGCAGAAAGAAGCTTACCTTTAACAAGTACTGGCCAGCACGGTGTGCATCACCGTCAAATGGCTGTGCAGCTCCTTTGCTGAAGTGGCAGGTGCTGCTCTTCACAAAGTCCTTGGTGGTGCAGAATTAGCCCTGTTGGCTTCTGTGCCTCCAGAAGTATGAAAGGGGATCACGTGGTGGGCTGCTCTGAATTCTAGGTCTTCTGAACTGCTTGATCCAAGCTGGAGATTCAGGGTGCCCTAGTAAGTAGGGGGCTTTTAGCTTTTGCTTTGGGGTTGTTGGTTTTTTTTTTTCCTCCTTCCTTTGGAGTGTCCTGGGGAAGAGAAGCGCAAGCAGAGCTAGGCAAGCTTCCTCCCTGTGCTGAGCAGAATACAGAGCAGAGCTGGTTTTTGAGGTGGCGGATCAGAAGAAAAGGAAAGGAATCTTCAGCTGTCAGTTCAGACGTATTTGTGTAGTGCTATCATATCCAGGATTTTACAGGCACGTTCTGTTTTTCCAGCTAGAAATCTTGTCTTGATCAAATTTTAGGATTTAGGGTACTGGTCTGGAATTTCAGATGCGTAAGCAGCTTGATCTGAGCGAGCTGCGGGGCTGCTAGATGATCAGAGGCCCTGAAGAAGTGCTTTGCAAGTAGGTAAACTGAGGTAGAAATTAAATGTGTTCTGGACGTTTCAGATTTACTGCATATACACGGGTCATCTGTACGGTATTTTCAGCGTATTTCCAGTGCATCCCATGTGTTGGATTTACTGCATGTTGCACACATCTCTGCCTGGGAATCCTAGAAAGAAAACAAGGATACTCTGTCTTTTGGGATTGCCTTCTACCTTCTTCCTCTAGAAAGGCATGTTATTAAAAACTTTGGTTAAAAATTTGCTTTTATGGTTCTCCAAACTTTCTGTTTAGAAGGGCGTACACGTTTTCGTAGCACAGTTATCAGGAACTAGAACTTAGAAGCAAAAAGGCTGCAGGTTGGGCTCTGCTGGTACGAAAATATTTGTAGGGGAGAATGTAACACTCTCTTTGTTACTAGGATCAGTCAAGATCTGGCTCTCATCGCACGGGAAATCAACGATGTAGCAGGAGAGATAGATTCAGTGACTTCATCAGGCACTGCCCCCAGTACCACAGTAAGCACTGCTGCCACCACCCCTGGCTCTGCCATAGACACTAGAGAAGAGGTAGGAGATCTTCATGGAGAAATGCATAAGGTTCTTCCTTTTCTTTATTTCTTTTGCTTTTAGCATTTTGCATAGCCTTTTTTAGTTATTTCCACTCAAGCCGTATGCATGATCTCTACATTGTTTTTGATTTAAAGTTCCTTTACATTTCAACAAACAACCCAGAAATTATTCTGTGAACACAGCTTGTTGAAAGGATGCATACTATCTGTCTGTCTCTTTTTTTCCACGAAACATAGGACAAGCTAGTTATTTGTTTCTTGCTTGTCTGTAGCCTTAGATACCGTTGGATAGTATCTAAGTGCATTTAAAGATACCAGTGTGTATTCACAAATAGATATAAATGTATGCATTTAATACATTGCATGGCTATTAAAAACAAAAAAGTCCCTCTTTTCACAGGTGATATAAAAGTTTCATCTTCTGAACACTGAAATACTTAGGTACCATTAGTAAACAATAACTTTAGATTTCCTTTCTTAATAACATTGTCAAAAACTGCCTTGAATAAGATTGCCTTATGCTTCTAATAATTCTTACTTTCTTTGACTCTCTCTGGTGTGCTGTTCTGTGAATATATTGACTAACTTTTTCTAGTAGCCATCACGGGTCTAATGCTGGTAAACATGTTAATCTGAACTTGAATCATCACTTTCTACCATATTACAATTCACCCTAATAAGTTGTAAACGTTTACTGCATTTTTTTTCTTCATAGTATTCCTTTTAAAATGTGTTTATTCATTTTTGTGTGCATAAAGTTTGGTTAATACATTAGTTTACTGTGTTTAGTATAATACTGTCTTTTTCTGTGGAAAAAAAGATATAAACAGTGATAAGAAATCTGTGAGTTGGGTACTCAGAAAAACCATAACTACACTCACATAGGTTTTGATTTTAATTCTCAGGGACTTAGGGCTAAACTTTAAGGAAGTGCTCATTTTCTCTCAGGTCCAGTTAGATCACTCTGAATTTTATATTACTAAATAGTTATTTTCTTCTTTAAAAAATATTGCACAGTGTGTACATACTGCAGGTGGCAGTATCTCCTTTAAGCAGGTGTATGTGTTTCTGTAACACTGTAACTAATCCGGGAAAAAACCTAGATTTGATAGTTCTGTACTTAATTCCACAGGTACATTCCATTAATCAAAGGAATAAATTATTCAGTACCAGTTTATAGGTAATTGTTATGTTACCTGCCCATAAGCAAAATTTCTGTGGGGTAGTCTAATTTTGCCATGTATGTCTGGTATTTGAAAAAAAAAAAACATTCATTTTTAGAAGTTATTGTTACATAACAGATGCATCATTTTGTACTATACAATACAACACAACAGAATGATTTCTATTTGATAGGCTTTTTGTAAACTGTTTCAGAAGGAAAAAAATATTAATCTGATTTTTCGCATGTATCCAGTAGGTTTCATAAACTGCATTTTTCTTTTACCCCTCCCAGTTGGTTGACCGAGTATTTGATGAAAGTCTCAATTTTAGAAAAATCCCTCCACTAGTGCATGCCAAACCACCAGAGGGGAATGGTCGGCATAATGATGCTAGACCTCAGCTAACAGATGCCCTTGATCCCCCAACAATTACCCGGAGAAGGACTTGGAGCAGAGATGAAGTGAGTACACAGCAGGATTCTCTCTAGTAATGAGTCTGTTTTAAGCTTTTACAATTGTCTCCCCACTAAATACTCTAGACACTACCCTTTTTTTTCCTAGCTGTAGCAGCTGGCATTAATACTGGAAAAAATTGATTGTGTATTATTTAATTTGCAAAGCATTCAAATATGATTGTTTGTCTATGATACTAATTAGAACATAGGTACAATTTTTTTTAAGTTAAAAAAGATTGCAAAATATATGGCATTGTATTTAATTCCCATTAAACTAATAACAGCCTTTTTGATTAAAAACTTATTGCAGGTTATGGGGGACAGTTTGCTGTTGTCCTCAGTCTTCCAGTTTTCTCGCAAGATAAGACAATCCATAGACAAAACAGCTGGCAAAATCAGGTGGGTTTTTAAAAATCACTGTTATTACTGAAGATGTCTGCTCTCATCAACGTTCCTACTAGTAGAACAGATATGTATAATACAGATAGAGCAAATTTATTTAGTAACAACTTGTGTTTTAAGAAAACAATGTTACCTATGGCTTTTTTAGCATTTGGAAAGATTTGGGATTAATAATTCTTCCATTATTCGTTGTGTGTATTTCACATTATATGAAGATAAATATCAGCAAAGTTTACATGGACACAACAATATCCATCATACTTCCAGCAGAGGAGCTGTTCCAACACGTGCAAATGCTGTGCAAAATCTACACGATCTGTATGCAAGTCTTGTGAAAGTCCCTTCCTTAAAAGATAAGGTTAAAACCTTGCTGAACTGTAGAATGGGGCCCTGTATGTTTGCAAAGTTGTTGTAGGGATCCCCAGTTTTGGGAATAAAAACAAATGGGACAAGGGAGAGCAGTTTCTGTAAATCCTTCTGAAAAAGAACTTGCTCTGGAGACAAAGTGGTCACTATTGAGTTCTAAATCTAACAAATGGTTACATCTGTTATTTTTAACTGAAAATTCCTGCTTAGATAGTTAGATTTCTTTATAAAATGTCATAGTAGCTAACAGGAAGTATAGGCATGTCAAAAATTGTAACATGTTGCTCTACCAAAAGTTTCATTTAACTTGAATGAGTGAGCATACAACATTTGGTGACCACTTGGGTTGACAGGAATAAATGAAAATTCCAAAGTTCAGGGCTGTATAATTCACGTGCCCGTCTCCATGTCTTTGTGCAGTTAATCATTTAGAAATAGAGTACATTAAAAATAAGAAAGTCATTTGGCTGAACTTCATGTATAATTTTCTGACTGTAAGAAAATATTAGAGCTGTAGTTGATCAGTTTGTCTAGGAAGCGTCAGATATTGAAATCTTATAGAAATCAAGAAGAAAAAGAATAATCTGTATAGATCAGTAAAAACTGTAGGTTATCTTGCCATTTTCTCATCCTGCTATTTCTAATAGGAAGAGTATCACTGAGTGAAGAATCGAGTCTTTAAAAGCCTGCAGCCCATTCTTACTAGTTCTGTTCTAAGGGGTTTTGTGTGTTGTTTTTACTGGTGGTTACAGGTAACAGTTGTGAGTACCTTATTTCCAATATGTTGGAACATGGTCCTGGACTGACATTCATCTCACTTCTCTTTTTCCAACTCACCACTTTGGGGCTGCAGGATTATAATATTGGAAATACGCCATTTGCTGCCTTTCCCTCTTTGGTTTCCCCAGATACATTCTTTTATGTGTCCTACTATTTATTTAAATATCCTTAAACGAAAGACATAAATGTCTTTTCCTATGTAAATTTCAGATACAACCGAGTTTGTGAAATGCAGGAGTACAATACGGTTACTCTCAAAAGCTGGCCCAAATTAACAGATAATAATCATTATCCAGAATTTATTACAAATTATGCAAAAGTTCACAACTTGTTGAGCAAATAGCTTTTAGAGCAAATAAGTATGTGCAAAGAGGTACTTAAGCATGACCATTCTTTGAAAGTCATTCTAAAAGGCATTTGAAATTTGGAAATAGAAACAAAATACTACATTAAGTTTTGTTTTGAGCATAATTCTCTCAGAAAATACGGTGACAACAATAAGGAACTCTGCTTACCAATATTTTTTTTTTTCCTTTTAAAGCTGCATCATTGGAACAAGAATCTTGCTTATTGACTGACTTATTTGTGGTAGGCGTCTAGGATGATATGTATCTTAAAATGCCTCAGAAGCAGTAGATAGTAGATACTCTACTTTCTTTGTTGTGCTGATTTTTCTTGATGATTGGCAGTTTCTGATCTGTAACTATGTTGCTAGCACAACTGTAGTTTACTTAATGTAAAAAACTGAGCTCAGTACAGTGGGTTAAAACAAATGTATGTATGTGAGTGCATTCTGAGAAGAGCAGGTAACTCTGAAATCAAGTCTTATGCTTTTCTGATTAATTTTCTAAGCTTAAAAGGTAAGTCAGCTACATTGTAACGAATGTAATAATGATGTGGTCATGTATGATATTATAAATATAAGCATACCTACGAATATTTTATATACATTTAAAGAAAGTGGCATTGCTTATTTCTGTAAAAATACAGGAGAAACTTTAATAAGTAATTATTTAGTAAATTCCTCAGAGCTGTAATCAAAACTTCCTTTTCCTGCTACTCAGAACGGATTTGAATAATACGATGTTATTCATAACAACATTAGTATTTTGAATCAGAAGGACAACAATTAGTTTTTAGAGAGCGTATAAGGCTGCTAGGACCTATTACAGATTTTACCGTAGCTTTGTTTTGACATACATGAGTTCAACCAACTGGTATGCTTCTGTTCCTTTTACTGGAGGTAAGCCAGTTAAAATTTCTGCCCAGAACAGATACAATGAGAATGACTCAGGATTTGTGATGCTAGCAGTTGTGTATTTTTTTGCAGAGTGTTTGAACCCGAAAGGAGAGGAGAAATTTTTAGAGGCACCAATAAGAGTAAGCCAGTAAGCCTGACTATATTTTAAAAGTCCTCGCTCAAGGTAAACATCTCTCCTAAGGGCACAGACAGTATAGGGCAATTATGGTCCTTACAAATTTCATCATACACATTAAAAAAAATGCATCCTTCCTGTCTGGGTCCAAATAGAGAGAGAAGCGCTTCCTGTGGATGTGAACACTCTTCTTTCTGTAATATTTTAGTCGCAGTAGCTTGCTTTACAAAAAGACCAGTTTCACTTCGGCGAAAGTATTAAGAACACAAATATGTTCAGTCATCCTCAACAAGCAGATCTATCAGAAATTAAAATGAGCTAATCCTGAAAATAAACTAGTATGAGGACAAAAGGAAATATATATCTTTTTGCTTGACTAGGCTCTTTCCGCTTCCCCACTGCCATGTCTGTTTTCTAATTTATAGATACTGTTTGCAAGTTCCACTGAGTTCTGTCATCGTTCCTACCTTATATTAAGAAATAGGATTGAGAGAAGCTTTTGACACTGTATTCCTCAGCTAGATTTTCCCAGTGCTGGCCAAACTTTTTTTTTTTTTCCCCAAGTCCTAGCATGGGCTTCAGATTGAACCAGATTCAAGTGCCCGGTTCTTTCTTTTCACCAAATCCTCTGTATATTTGTAATTTTCTTCAGGATAAGGTCATAGCTTGTGTATTGCTAAGTTACTTTTTTAGAATTTATTTTTATTCATTACTGTGTATAATCAGTTAGGTTCTTATCTGCTGGTGTACGCAAAGCTACATTATATTTAAAAATTCTGCAACATTCTTGATATGTATCCTATAACCCGTTCTTTGCTAATAAATTATTGTGGTGGCTTCTCCCGAAGCAGATAAGCAGTTTGTTTGCTTTTCTGTCTTTTATATGTTAGAATGAGTTTGCAGGAATTTTCAGAGATTATGGAGGGAAGAAGTAAGTAGGTTTTGCACTGAGAAGACCTACATGGTTTTATCAGTGCTCTACAACGTGAATGCAGTGTTATTGGCTTGCTTTGTAGCAGGCAAGTACCTCTTCAGTCAGGCAAAATCTGGGCAAAGCATTCGGGTCAGTGCAGGTACTACTTATTGGCCTCTGCAGTTTGCTGTGCATCCTGAAAAGTGCAATGAAAGAGAAATGGGGACTGAGCACAACCAAATAAGAAAGTTCT